TGTGTAAAGTGTAGAAAAATCAAATGTTTTAATACTATTGCAAGATGAGAGAGTCTTAGATTGTATGTACTCTTAAAGATCTTTGGAATTTTTAAGGATCCACATCTGATTCACGCAACCTCTAGAATAGGCAGTTTCACAATAACTTTGGAGCCCGGCTTTGATTGCTGCTAAAATAGATGTTAATAATTTAGAAAGAGGTTTCGTGGAGCACTTGGAAGACCCAGCAATATACCGATGTTTGTAAGGACACTTATGTAGTTTAGGTATCCAATACAGTGATGGAAGATCCAGTTCTTCTTCTTTGGTTGAAATTCCAAAGGAACATAGAACAGACCTATGATTATCCAGGATTTCCTCTTTGGTAAGTGTCGTGAGGGTATATATTGGGTTTCCAAATGAATTGTCAATACCTAATTCATTTATCAAGCAGTTTATGTAATGATATTTACACACAAAAACGATGTTGTTTGGGGCTTTATCTGCGGGGACAACAACATATTTGTCATGGAGGTAGGACAAGTGCTTTGCAACATTTGGGTCTTCTTTGTCATTCATTGTTTCCCATCATCACAGATTTCTTGTAAAAACTTAATTGTGTTCCAACCGTCGTAATCTTTTGAAATCAACCAAATAAAATATGTGAAAATCAAACAAAGACTGAAAAGAACTGGGCCAACATTTTTATTACTTAGTAGCCCAATAACGAAATAGTTTTGTTACTGTTCCTGTTATTTGTAGAAACGATCAATTCTGTTTGAAACAGTCATATAACAATATATTTATTGCATTATGTACGGTTTGATAACATTTTTCCTGAAAAATCCTGCAGACAATATTAATCTGACCGCTTAGACAAGTTTCATGATAAATATTATGCAGTCAAGTGATCAAACAGTCAGTAAATCCGTGAATATTGCATATATACATTTGAATTAATTTTTTCTAAAGGAAATCGCGAAGTTAAACAAACCAAATACAAGTCAGCTCATTATATAACAACATCAATTGATATCATTCTCAATTCTATAGCATTGTCACTGAAAATAATCAGAATGTTGATCGACATCGATGGAGATTTTGCCAGAAAACGGGCACAAACGCAACACTGCATCTGAATTGATCAATCAGTTTGGCCATTCCATAACACTTCAAAGTTCGATGGGTATCGTAGTTTCAATCATATAATTCAGTTACTGTGACTTGACTATGGGTGTTACTGTATAACTTTACCTATAGCTCAACCAGATTTTAAAATTGACAATACAATAGGGACATTTAAATTGACCAGTTGGTATTGTTAGATTTAAATCTACCTTGATTCTACCTGTACAGTTTTTTATTTACCTATTCCAACCTTACAGCATGCTTTTTTCCTGAAGTTTTTCTTTACCTAGGATTATTCTTTTTAAAAATTGATAGGGAAGAAAATATTTTTGGTTTTCATTGTTTTAAATCCCCAATATATATGATTTATCTAATTTTTACCTAAAATTCTAAATCAGTAAAAGATTTAATAAATATTTGTTGAAAACTTTTGATTTAATAAAAAAAAATCACTTTCCCATGTTTTTTATTAGAGAATCCTTAACCAAGTAAAGGAAATAAACATTGTCATTTCAATCTTTTTATCATTGAAGTGAGTGTATTCCTAGAAGTAATTGGTCATACAATTGCCAAAGAAACAATATTTAGAAGGAAATAGAGAGATTTTTTATTTTACTGTCATTTGAATTATTGGGAGTGATCAAGCCAAAACAAGAATGTATATATGTTATTTTCTTGCAGGGTATTTAATTGCATGGCCTATAATGCACTCCATTTCATCTTAATGTTTTCATAGCCAAATACTAGGAGTGTTTGGTACCCCGAATAATCAAGTCCTTATATTTCACTCACTTCGATCGCTACATTATTTCATTTGTATTGTTGAAAAAAACTTCTTTTTTTTATCTCTTTGGTCTTTTCTAATGGGAGATAACTCAATATAATTTGCTTTTGCTCTTGTGGAAATCTTAATAAATTTATTATTTCCATAATTTGATGAATACTTATTGACATGCTCCTTGTACAAATTGTTTATGCATATTGAAATATCAAAATCATAGTTGAATAAAACATTTTATTTATTTATTGACACTGATATTTGACATCTCATCCTGAATTCCAAAGATTTTGAATATTTTCTTAATTTTATTAACTTTTTGGATTTTTTTCTCACTTTTTCACTACGTCACTAGAGTTTTTTTCTATATCCATAGTATATTCTGTTTAATTTCCCATGATATACATCCCAATTAAACAGGTGCAGAATCTTTTTATAATTCAGAATCTTGTAATTTTTTTTATCATTTCCATGATTATATTCAAAATAGTTATCCTCACTTTACAAATATTTTCTAATATTTTATTCATATTTTTACTATATCACTTGATTTAACTATATCCACAGTATACATTTTTATTCCATTTCCTATGATATATGTCCAAATTAAACAATATTTGATCCAGAATTTTATAATGATTATTTCCAATTTCACATTCACTTTAATAAAACATATCCTCACGTTAGGAATATTTTGGAATATTTTATTTTTATTTTTCACTTTATCACTAGATTAGACTATATCCACTGCATTAATTCAACATTTTATTTCATTTCCAAGATCCCATTTAAATGGTGAATCATCTTTTTTATAGATCCCAAAATTAATAATGAATGTTTTCAAAATCACATTCAAAGCCACAGAAACATGTTGGTTGAACTCACACTATATCTCCTACTTGAATTCCAGTTCTGATTTTTTTTAATCTTTAACATAACTAAATCCCATCTTATGAAAATTGGATTTCCTTGAGTGAACACAGCATTTTATGCACAAAAGTCCTACTAACATTATAGTAGATTTCAAAGAAAAAACACTGCAAAGGTATACTCCAAAATTATTTCGAATTTTACATGTACATCATCATATGTAAGCCCAACAAAACAGTTTGAATGAATTATTTCCTCCTTGATACCTTCATGACAATAAATTCTTGGAAAAAACAAGTCACATTTTAAGAAGCAAAATTACTATAAAAAGTCTGAGAAGTGAATTCAAATACAATAAATCCAATATTGTATGCACAATGATACCAATAGATTTCAAACATTGCAAATAATAATCCAAAATAGAAATCTTGAAGGGTCATGTGAAGAAATGAACAACATATCCATCTGAAAATTTAAACTGTAAACACCTGAACAGCTATTTCTTGTTTCACTGGCAGCTGGACAATACTATGTATAAGGGTTAAAATTATTTTAAAGAAGCATTTATTATGTAAAAACAGTTTAAATTTGCAAACATATTAACACGTAGTTAATTTAATCTTTTACTGGTTTATAATTTTAGGTAAAAATTAGATAAATCATATATATTGGGGATTTAAAACAATGAAAACCAAAAATATTTTCTTCCCTATCAATTTTTGAATAAAACAATCCTAGGTAAAGAAAAACTTCAGGAAAAAAGCATGCTGTAAGGTTGGAATAGGTAAATAAAAAACTGTACAGGTAGAATCAAGGTAGATTTAAATCTAACAATACCAACTGGTCAATTTAAATGTCCCTATTGTATTGTCGATTTTAAAATCAGGTTGAGCTATAGGTAAAGTTATACAGTAACACCCATAGTCAAGTCACTGTAATAACAGTCACTACAATTTCGCAACAACACATCAAACAGTCGATTTTTCTGCACAAAATTTTATCTGAATTTTTACATATTTTCGTTTACAGTCTTTGTTCCTTCTGGATGATAAACTAAGATATATTGGGGGAAACAGATGTGCTACAGCTATTGCAGAACAAAAATGCTTAGATTATATCATGAATATAAATTCATTGTTTTTAAAATATAAATCTAATTTCTAATCTATGTTAACTCATGTTTTTCATGAATCATATATTTATAAAAAATGATATTCCGGCCAAGATAAAAAATAAATTTATGATATAATAAAAAATATTTCACATATGTGATAACATTATTTGTATATGTTAATTCGTGATTTTTCTATTATATCATAAGAATTTTTATATTACTGAAATAGTCTTTATATTTCAAGATGATTTTTGAGATATCAGAGGTTTAGCTAGCTATAAATCCAGGTTTAACCCACCATTTTGTTCAGAAAATGCCTGTACCAAGTCAGGAATATAGCAGTTGTTTTTCACTTGTTCTGTTGATTGGTAGTGTTTGATTTTGTCAGTTTTTATGGACCTCTCCATCTTTGAATTTGCCTTGTAGTTCTGTATTTTTGTTACACTATAAACAATAAATATATTCTTTATCAAAATTAGATATTTATCATACATTATGAATAGTAATTATATACAAAAATAATAAACTATTCTAAAATATGTGTAACATCTTGACTTACAACAGCTAATCTGTTTGTTTGAAGAATAGTGTTTTCCTATCTTCCATGGAAACCAAAATACATAGTGAATGGGATTTCAATGCTAAACGGAAATATCAAATGACGAGAAAGAATTGCAATACTTTTGTTTTTAATGATTCACTGATAGATGAGTAGAAATACGACTACTTTAATATTTAGTCTGTCAAACTTGTAAAATTCCAATTCACAAATTGAGGTAATGAATTTGTTGATAATTTAGTGTAGGAAAACCAATATTCGAGATGTAACATAAAATTTAAACTTGGGCCTTAACATCATACGACCCCCATCACAAGGCATTTGAACAGACTTCCAAAAGATGCAGATTTAAAAGAACATTGTATGGCTGATTGCCAGCCAGTTTTTCAGAACTGATTACGGATAGAGGTGAAAGGCAGACGTATAACGAGGGCCCTTTCATATAATAGATTGATTTACCCCGATTTCAACAGATATTGATTCTACATCGTGTGTTATCTGTTATACTATAAATAACCGTGTCATGGGTGTGTGACTATTAATATATTAACCTTATTATCAGATCAAACAACTGTGTGGGTAATCAGGATTCGGAATTTGGACATAAATATGGGCGAATCAAAGAAGGTATATATTTTAGATATGTAATTACTAAATTTAGACGAAAATAAAATAGTCAAAAAGTGTAAATTGTCCACAGTACTAACTCTATTTTTGGTATGAGGCTATTTAATCATTCGCCCTTAACAAGGCAAACGTTTCATTTTTTCATTGAATTTTATGCAAATGGTAAGAAAAAGAAAAAGTCCTTAAATGTAAATATATATCTAAATAAAAAATATCATAATTTAAGAAAATAGAAATACTGATAAGGTATAGGTAAGGAAGTAGATCGATATTTATTTTAAAAATCATGATTTACCAGTTTTTTGGATGCAATTGTGTTATTATTGTTGTTTGTTATCTTGTATTTTGAGAAAATAAAATATGAAAATAGCACAAAGAAACTTCGCATTGTAGAGAAAATGCAGTCATTTAGTTTTGTTTATTATCACAAAATTCTGTTCTTTAACTCCATGTGTTTTAAATAGAATAGTGTCCTTTTGCTAAGAATAGAATAGTATCCTTTATCAAAACCAATCATGGACCATTTCAGACATTTACAATGTATATCAAAGGAAATTGTTTTCTCTCTCTGTAATATAAACTACGATCACAAGAAATATTTTTTTTTATTACAATAAATATGAATGCCATATCCACATCAAAATAAAATCTTTTTCTTTGAAATTACTTTCCAAATTCAATCATACCATACAAATATAGATGCTATCTTAGATTACATTTCTCATTACAGCAGTTCGAGGATTTTAGAGTGAAAGGATGTGTATGTGCACCATTTACATTACTTAAAGATGACGGGTATGTGTTGTGTACTTATGTAAAATAGTATGAATAAACGACACATCAATAAGACCTCAATGAAATCTGGTAGCACAACAAAACCAAATAGTCCTGTAATGATCCACATACTGTCTTAAAGGATAATATAAGTACATTTTCATTTCAAAGCAACAAAAATGTGATAATGATTAAATAGTTTTGATATAAGTACCACTAATGCCGATGTTATGTTTTTCTTGCATTCTAATAATTGACATTGACGTCAAACATAGTGCAGAAAATAAGCATATCATATTGTTATCGATTAAACAACATTGTTTTCTTAAAATCAAATTGAATAAACACTATAAAATAAAGATACTTTTACTAAATTCTTTCATAGATACAAAGATTTGATTAGTAAATTCGGCTGTACCTGTAGAAAACTTATTAAAAATGGTATTTCACATCCTAAATTTTACGGTAATATTGTACTTAAAGCGCGGAAATCACTATGTGATCCGTGTAAACTCATCGAACCTTTTTACAAACTTATTAGTAAGGGTTATCGTACCAATGTTGTAATTAGATCTCTGAATATAGTTTACATTGGCACTAATATCGATTTTGTCATTTGCAAATTAAAACATAACTAAATTTGTATTTTCTTTTCAAACGGGATGTATAGAGACACATACACGTTCATTTTTATCTATAAAGAAGTCACTCCTAACTATCCTACTACCTGTCGATACATTTATTTTTGGCATTGCACAAGTCATGTCTTCTTTGACTGTTCATGACGTTAAAATACTAAATCCCTGGGATGTGTTTTAGTTGATTGCAGTCTCTGATGCATGATGTTTTATTATTGATTGTTTTGGCTTTTAACTAGCTGTCAGTAACTGCGAGTACTCTCAAATCGTACTTTCTTTTTAATTTGACCTGTTGATACTATTTGTAATGCTTTTTTTGTTATTTAATGTTAACATGGATCTTGTCTATATACCAGCTTTGATTATTTGGTATTACTACAAATTTTCAATTCTTGCACCTGTACAGGAAGTTTTATCTAGCACTTATTGTATAGTTTTATTGTTGATATTCACCCCATATGTACCAACTGTTAAATAAGTTTTATTGATATTAAAGACATTTCTTGGTATTCCTAAACGGAAGATTTTATACACACAGAAGAAGAAGTATACTTAACAACAAAATTATTTTCATTTACCTGTGTATAATATGACGCAGGTTTTTTCATAAGTGATTATATCTGAATATTGTTTGGCATTTCACAGTGGTATCATACTTTGACTTTGTTTAAACCTGTTTATTTACTTTTGACCTTAATTATTTATCCCTTATAATTTTTATTGACTGTGTGTTTGCATTCAGGTATCACAGATCAAATTTATTCGTTCATTGTGTGTTAATTTACGTTTTTTGATTGAGTTAAGCCTTCCAATTGATATTTTATAGTGTGTCTGTCTATGTTGTGATGTTATACTATTGATTCAGAAAAGGGAGAAGGTTTGGTACCATTAAAACGTTTAATCCCGCTGCAAATGTTTGCACCTGTCTTAAGTCAGGAATCTGATGTACAGTAATTGTCGTCTGTTTATGTAGTTCATACGTGTTTCTCGTTTCTCGTTTTAATATAGATTAGACCGTTGGTTTTCCCGTTTGAATGATTTTACACTAGTAATTTTTTGGGGCCCTTTATAGCTTGCTGTTCGGTGTGAGCCAATGCTCCGTGTTGAAGGCCGTACCTTGACCTATAATGGTTTACTTTTATAAATTGTTACTTGGATGGAGAGTTGTCTCATTGGCACTCATACCACATCTTCCTATATCTATATACAACAGTGTTTTCTTATTCAACATAAAGTATAATACAGTGTAATCGACATTGTTTTCTTTTTAGTGAAATTAACTTTGATGGCTTCGAAGAGTATGCAAAATATCTTGTTAGTCAGAAGTTCACGTATCTTTTCGGTAAGTAACATATAGATTCCACCACTGCATTAAGTGTCTTACGATATTTCTCAACTTGATACAGTTAAATTTTAATATTTTAAGCGCGAGGCTTGCCGAGCTTTTTAAATACTTTAAATTTAACTGCAGAGAGTGGAGAAATATCGTAATAAACGAGTTATAGTGGTAGAATCTGTTTCACTAATGATTTTAGACGATATCTAAACAAAGTTTATCCTTCCTTTTCAAATATTTGCTGATAGTTGTGTTTTTATATGTGACATCATCAGGCATGGTCGCCTTTATCATGATAGGATATTCAGAAGAAACCAAGAAACTTTGACGTTTTATTGTTAAACAGCAATATGTGCCGAGAACAAAGTTTTCTCTAGAGACGAGAAATATTATTCTCACACCGATCGAGAAATGTAAAAATGACATGAAAATTAGAGAAAAGAAAATCACGGATTCTTAACGAAAAAGTTCGTTAAATAATTGTTGATTCCATGCTACCGCTCTTTCGTAATTTTGCAAAAGTCATCATTTATACTTTTAATTTAAAGCAAAATTACAGTTACATCGTTGAATATTTTTTACTCTCATTGATGAAGTATTTTCTTTTACTGCTGTGTAAGTCTGTAATAAGTTCGAAGTATTTAAAATATAAAAATATCTCACAGCGATGCTACGATGGATATCATACTAATACTATCATATTAAAGTACATGTATGCATTATTTTATAGTGAATGGAACATTGGCAGAAGGGTTATCTATGACACAAGAAGAGAGAAAAAAGACAGCAGAGGCATGGGTTAAAGTAGCGAAAGGAAGGTAAGTAAAAAGTGGCCATATGTTACAATGGCAGTGAAACAAGCAAATATTAGACCCATAGAATGACTGTAAAGGCGTCTGCCAAGATATCTAAATCACGAATTTATTATAGATTTAATACAAATTTAAAATCGATTATTATAATTATGAATTCATCATTGAAGTAGGAAAGTCCCGAAAGAAAGTAATTAGATTCTGCGTAAGAGTGATTTAATGAAAACTTGTAAAGGTGTAGAATTTAAACATTTCTTAAGGTTTAGTTTAGTTCAGTTTAGTTCAACCAAAGAATTAGACACTTAGGGTGTGCCGATTACAGGTGTAGTTTGATATGTTGTATCTAAAACCATGGACAAAATATAGGTCGACGATGTATCACAGGAAGCAATGTCTAGTCTCCTCGACAGGTTTTATATACAAATTAGTAATTGACATCGATCTTTATACGAAAAAATAAATCAGTTACTTATTAACAATCGATTACAGATATTAGGCTTATAAGGCAGAATACGTGTTAACGCAGAAAATAAAAAAAATTCAAAAAACCATACGAAATACTGAATTAGTGATAATCTTTTATAATATTGTAGGTTTGGAATTATTCTTCATATTGGAACTAACAATTATAAAGATTCTCAAGAGCTGGTTTGTTTAAATATAGTATCTTTTCTTCTTGACATAGTCTATAGCTCTCAATCTTTCGTTCTGAATCTGATATTAAAGTTGACCTAGACCTCTAATAAGTTATGGATAACGGAAGATAAAGAAATAAAATCCAGAAGTCAGCATACTCTCTCTCTCTCTCTCTCTCTCTCTCTCTCTTTCTTTCTTTGTATATATACATATATGTGTAAATGAGTATGGAGCAAACATTGATAAGACAACCCTTAAAAGACAAGGAACATCCAATTTTGACAAATGGTCGTTGATTGTCTGACAATAATAGTCGTGTTTTATTATCTTTATAGGCTCGGCATGCAGAGAAGATTGGGGTTGACGCAATAGCATGTTTTGCGCCATCTTTCTACAAACCTGACTCAGTGGGTAATTTGTTAGATCTTAATTTATTTAACATAAAATGTTTTTACTTAAAACAAATCTTACATTATTCTAAATTTTATAGCAGGAAAATAGTACTAGTTTTATGTCACTGATTTGATCTTACTGTTTTGTATTTGTTGCAGAGAAACTAGTAGAGTATATTTCCAAAGTAGCTTCGGCAGCACCAAAAACACCATTCTTCTACTACTGTATCAATTTCTTCACTGGTATTTATTGTGAGTAAACCTTAATATAAAACGTTTTATGCCACTTTTTTCTGTTCTTAATAAATTTTGCCCATTATTCTCTATGCTTTGTATTCAAGCACCCGATTATTCTCTATTCTTTATATCATTGACCTATATTTCTCTATTCTTAATTTTTTTTGCACATTTTTCTGCAGTTTTGCCCCCTTATTCTGTAAACCCGATCCAAACGTCATAACTGAGAGTGCTTTGTTGGTTATAATTGTTATTTTGTATTACAGAATACAATATTTTTTTTAAAAATCATGGTGTTCATTTCTGGGTCGAATAATCACAAGATATAATACAAACAAATGATCAAAGTTAGAAATGAATATGATTACAATAAATGTGCCCCCCCCCCCCCCCCCCCACACACACACACACACGCGCCCACACGAAATAGATTAACAAAAATTGGAAAGTTAATTTTTGAATGTTATATTAAACAAAGACTGATTTTAAACTGCAACATTTTGTAAATATATTTCTAAACTTCAGTTTTTATATATGACATATTATAAGAATGAACTTCGAACAAGTTTTATTTTTATTAGTGAATGACGCAAAATTCCTGGAGCTCGCAGAAAGTAAAATTCCGAACCTTGTTGGTTTAAAACATTCATCGAGAGAACTTCCCAATGCTCACCGATGTATGATGGTTAATCCAAAGAAGTTCCAGGTCATGATAGGGTCAGATGTGGTCAGTATATTTTAGCAGTTGATTTTGAAAAAGGAAACTTCAAATTGAATAAAAAGAGACAACACACACTGTACACAGTTGTGCACTATGAAAGAAAATGCAATAACAGGCGCAATTATAAGGATTTCCTATCCATTGATCAAAATGGCTGTATGTGGTAGTATCTGCAGTTGTCTGCTGGAAAGTCAGTTTCCTTTATTCTAGTCATTTATTTCATTCTTTTCTCAAAGCATAGTTTGATCCCATTTGGGGAATATTTTAAGTGCAAAGTGCACTGTAGCAACAAACTTGAAGCATAAAAACAGTTTCTGGTCAGTAATTTGCACCTTTCATTCATTTCAGCAACTGCTTACTAGTCTTTCACTAGGAATAGAAGTACCAGTTATAGCATCATTTCTGGGACAGTTATTTGACAATATGAAGACGGCTTTCGATAAAGTTGACATGAAAACAGCAAGTAAATATCAGGTACCTATTTAATATTGTTATTATACTCTAGTTACACTTTACACCTAAATCACTTGTTTGTTATTTGTGAACAAGATACATTTTGTTTTGGTTTCATTGATTTGTCTTCTTAATCGATTTATAACATTGATAAACTACTGTTGCCTAAATTTTTCGGCACGTTTGTTTAACTTGAAATTGTAATGTATAGCACGCTCTAATTATTTGCCTTATTCATATGGACTTCCTTGTTAAAGACCTTACTGTGACTTTATTATTATATGAAGAACAGCAATAAAAGCGCTGGTCATTTGCTTTTGTTTTTTTTCAAGTATGTGTAGTGATTCTGTGTCATATAGTGAAACGCCGTATTCTTTCTTTCCTTCTATTACAAAATGTACAAAAATATAATTGATTTTTTTCGATAATTGATGTTTTCATTCATATGTTAAAAAAACTAAATAAAATTAGGAGATGTGGTTTGATTTCCAATGAGACAACTATCCAAAAGAGTCCAAATGATGTGAATAAAGGAACTATAGTTGTACGGTCTTCAGCAATGAGCAAAACCAATATCGTATATTCAGTTACAAAAAAAATGCGATATGACAAAATGTAAAACAATTCAAACGAGGAAAAAAAACTCAACGGCCTGATTAATGACTATGCAATAGATGAAAAAGAAATATGCAACCGACCACAACCACTGATACACAGGCTCCTGACTGGGGACCGGCTCATTTAGAATGTGACGAGGTTAAACATAACTATTACTAATCAACTTTCCCCTACACATGGGACAATAGTGTAACAACAAATATAACAATACAGTTTTAATGAACATACATGTTGTTTAACCTTGTGTTATAGTGTCAAGCACAAGAAATCAACACAATACGATCAGAATTTGGTAAGTATATACATGTTTAACAAACTAACTTGCTGGCAAAAAGATATTAAATGAAAATGACACTTTAACAGCGCCCGAATCGCTTTCCTGGATTTACCTTCAGCAGGATGGCTCAAATCCAGACACTGAAAGCCAATTATGTATAAGAACTGAACATGCGAAAAGCTCTACGACCAAACGAAACATAAAAAGCAAAATAAATATAAAGAATATATATATAAATGTCATACGTGATTTTAATAAAACGGAACTTTTATATATTTATAATAAGTGATAAGCTTTTTGCAATCCAGAATTTCCATGTCTTATTATAGCAGTAAGAGATAATCCATATGAATAATGTTTCAAAGACGAAATGAATTGTTTATTTAGAATAAAAAACATTGATTCAGTAAGGGAATCCATTACCAGTTTATTTTTTCTATCAAAAATGACAAAAGAAACATGACAAGTATAAAAATTGTTTAAGAATAAAAACATGTCATGATTAATTCTTAGTCACCATTTTTTCAATATAACTGTAAAGAAATACGTAACAATAAACAATAAAGATAATTGTTCATCCTCCCACTATAATGTGGGTGTCAATATCTGTTTTTATCGTTATTTTATTTGTTCTATTATGTCATTTTAGGACCATTACTGTCAAATGAAAGCAACATGTTTATCTAAATTCCTATTATTTACAACTGCTGTAGTTTTAGTTGTTTTTTTCTTTCATTTATTGACTAACTGCATTACTTCTATACTCCAGGTGCAGGCATAAATGTAGCGAAAGCAATGTTTAACATAGTTTCTGGGCTTAATGCTGGACCTGTACGACTGCCACTCAGCGACTTAAGTCAGGAACATAAACAACAGTTAAAGGAAAAACTTGATGCCACTGGAATATTTAAATAATATAGAGTAGAAATGCAAAACAAAGAGGTATCCAGAAGTCTATTAGTTTCTATGAACTATCGATAGAAAAGAATTATAATATACAGCCTTAAGATAAACAAATTATCTGTTCAAAATAAATTAACTGTACATTGATGTGATTGTTTTAGTACCACACAACTTATTTTACTGTCATAACAATGTTTGGTGTAAATTTTTATTACCAATAATACTGGCTGCACAAAAAATAAAAACATACGCTGAACTTTATACAATCAAATAATCGAATGTAATAAAAGATAGATTCGTGTCTATCATTATGTGTAAAATTAAGATTTTTCTGTTAGTATGGGACATTAATCACATGAAAGATGAAAGATGATTCATCTTTGTTCCTCATTCTGTACCAACTATTTGTTTACACCGCGTTCTTGTTAGAAAATTTATATAACTGTACTGAATGTATCTTGTTGAGGTTTTGCAAATCTTTTTTTGATACGACCAAATATTTGATATGTAGCATTTCTGAATCGTCTGTTTTGTAGCGGATAGACAACCGGGTTGACGAATGAATTCAAAACTCCGAAAAAAGCAGATATCTCAGATATGTGGATCAAGAGTTCGTTTAATTTTGTTGCTGATGCTTGATAGACTAAACTTATGGCAAACGGTGTCCAGCAGAACATGAATATAACCAAAATAACTGCCATAAATTTTGCTGCTCTAAGTTCATGTTGGAATTTCATCAAACGAGAGTTTAAAACGAGATTTGATTCAACTGACACAATTTGGCGTCTTTTGGTGACCGCAGCTCTGCACATCATAACGTACATCGTACACATTGAAAATAAAATAACAAAGTACTGCACTGGAATAAAAATTATATATTCTTTAGGTGGTATGCATCCAGTACTATTCCTAATCACTTCGAATTGTTCTGTTACCACTGGCCAAATTGTTAAAAGCGCACAGTATATCCAGGTTCCAAAAACTACTGCAACTGTTTTCTTTCTTGTGACAGTTGTATATTTTCCATGGTAACAAACACACAAAAGTCTTTCTACAGCTGTCAGTAATACCGCAAATAAAGATGCAAATGATACGAAAACCATGGAAGAAAATCGAAATACACATACACCTGGTAAAACTTGCAAATAGTCAATAAGATTGAAAATGGCCTGCCAGATTAAGACGATGCCCACCAAGATATCTGCAGATGATAAATTCAACATTAAAATATTTCCAGGTACACTTATGTTGATGTACTTCCAAAGTATGTGAAGAACTATTCCATTAGCAAAAATAATTGGTATTCCACAAATAAGTTGTATAATTCCTCTATCTTTCTCATTCATTGTCTTCCACTGGAATTCAATATTTCTTTTTAAAACTCAGTTTCCCAACAGTCATAATCTATTGTTGTGATCAAATTTAAGATTATCACAAATTTACAATCATGACTGACCGACTATATGCTTTATCAAGTGTAGCTTAAATGGTAATTAAAACTGTACGAATATGAATATGGGCGAATCAAACAATGCCAGATAAGGACAGGAACCAACATTTTCCATTAGTCAATAACTTAATTGTTTTATGACAATTCCTGGTATAAGTTGTTTGCAGAAATCACCATTTCTGTTTTAAACAGCACTATATACAATAGATTTATTGCATTGTGTATAACCGTTTTATTACATTTTCTAGAACAGTCCGTCTGTCAATGTTAACCTGACCGATAAAATATGGTAATTATAAATGTAATGCAGCAAAGAGTTCAACCAGTCATTCAGTTCGAGAATGCTGCATATATGCCTTTGAATTGAAAATGAATCCAGGGAAATAATTAAGTTTTAAAACAAAAACAATGCAAGTGTGAAATGCTCCATTGTGTCCGAACTACCCCGAAACAAATGTTTGGACTCAATAGTATATAACTTTGTACCAGTTATACAGCATCAGGTGTGCATTGCAGTGCGTTTTATGCATCTGGTGCTTCGTTCAGTCCATACACAAATTCAAATGTGGTTTTACTGACATTGGTATGTAATTGTCACTTTTCAAGTATTATCGTCACAACCGCATGTTTGCTGATTAGAGTGTCCCGGTACATTGTATTTCAACTTCAGCTCTGTAATAGATCCCACATGCCCACCTGACATTACTGCTGCTTTTATAATGTTAATACACTGTTTGACACTTCTGAAATAGTTTAGAATTGCATGATGTGTGATGCTTTCATCGCATGAGAAGCTTACCTTTTTACTGCACCTGGTATTGCTTCCTTTGGGGTCCATGTGTAATTCGGATTGTATTACTCCCATGATTGTTTGTTTGTCTGTTTGTACGTGAAGTTTCTATTGATATCAGTGTACTATATTCCTTAGGCAGTTTTAGTTAATTACCGGAATGTAATTAATGGTTATAAAGATAAGGAGATATGGTATGATTGCCAATGAGACAAATGTATCTTCAGTGACGCTCGAAGGCAAAATATTTGTAATTTTTAGAAAACCTAATACAAACACCTAATGAGCTGATAAAACCAAAAGAACAAAAAGGAAAGCCAAACCCAGACAAGGGATGAGGGAAATACACGAGGGTGATGCATGCCATAATACAAAATAGTAACTAGAAAAGAATTTCGTAATGCATTGGATATTGCCGAAACATTCGACTACTGGATGTATGATATAAACTGGAACTCAGTTCACTGACAATAGCATCAAGCAAGTGGTAGTAAATGAAAATAGTCCGTTCGCTGCGTTTGACGCTGAGTATGGGTCCTCTAGGCTGTAAATACCCTCTAAAACTAACGTCCACCAGCCTAGGTACGAGGTGACCTTATTTAGACCCATAAAAACCTAAACAATCTTCGACGAGCTGAAACAATCATCAATCCGAAAGATTAAAGACAAATCAGGCGAAAAAAATTATTCTATATGCAAGTGAGATATCCCTTAATTTCCAAATTTTGTCGCTGCAGTTTTATTATCGTACTTCTTTGTGTATGTATATATATACATAACACAGTAAGTTTATGTAAGTGATACTCACTGCCTTTGGTGCAGGCTATTTAAATGCGCAGATCAATAACATGGACTAACATCAAAGTATATAATTGCAAAAAGTAATAAAAGTTGAAATAAAAATATCTAAGACATTTATAAGATTTAATGATATGTTATACATGAAAGCAAACTATTCAAAGCATTTAGAATAGGAACTACAAAAGTACAAAAGCAGGTAAACAAATACCAACACGGTCGAGGCCTTGAGCCTTCATACATCTCTACGTTTATTCACACACAAAGCAATCGATTTAGGTCCACCGATTCCATCAGTACTACATTTTAGAACTTAATCCGCACGAAGGCAGTCAAGACAATTGACGAACACAGACTCCAAATATTCTATTACTGTTCAAAAGTGAACAAAACGTCTGTATAAAGTTCTTACCACCATTATTTCTACAGTAAATGGGGGTACTCAAAAATATTGCAATGAGGTATACTCAACCAGCAGCGTCAATCAGATATGAGTTTTTATAAATTCTAAGGATCTACTCCAAAATCTTAAACCATCATCATTACATTCCGATTCTCAGTTGAAAGACCAACTACATCACCTCATTAAACAGTTTTTTTTTATAGAAATATGATCGTAGATACAATTTTTGGCTTATATCGTTATGCAAAATCTTAATTTGTGAAGAATCACACTAATTTCAACAACAAATACACTGAAGACCATATCATCAACATTCTGGACTTTTTGGTCGATAATATATTTTTATATATGAAGACGAAATCTTACAAAACCGTCCCCAAGACAAAAAGAACTAGTGACAACAGATGCTCCACAATCTGCACATTTATTGAGAGAAAACTTGTTTTGACTAATTTTTTGTAGTGTCACTTTGGTTTATATCTAATTCCCTTTCAGTGCCAGGAAATATTCCGCAATTTTCCGTTTACTGTCAAGCTTGTTTCTTTTCTAAAATACATAGAATATTTGCTGTCAGTGATGTTAAAAATAACGTCGCGTCCTAAGATTTTGCGTAAAAGGGTACGACGTCTTTCGGTGATTGAACGGCAATTTTGAGAAGTCTTGTTTCCGTATGCGTAGAAGTAAATTGTAATTTTTTGGTAATACTTTTATCAAAAATAATTTACAAAAATCTCCCGGACATAGGTAGTATTTGTTTCAATTTTGTATTTCATTTTAAATAGGAAGAGATGGTTCCACAGCGTTCAAACAAACAGTACTTACTGATACAAAATAAAACAACTTTTGGATAGCTAGGGAAAACGGAAGCATAGTTACACATTTTGTTTTATCAAGATACCAGTACAACGGCTTAAATGTTAAAAAGTTACAATAAAAAAACAATACATGTAACTGAGAAAAAAAAACCATTATGATTGAAAAGGGTTATATGTGGGATAGCTTAATTCTCCCCTTTTTATTGGCTTATATCGTCATGCAAAATCTAAATTTGTGAAGAATCAAACTAATTTCAACAACAAATACACTGAAGACCATATCATAAAAATTCTGGACTTTTTGGTCGATGATATCTTTTTTGAGTTTGGCGGATTTATATTTCAACAAACAGTCGGTTTTTCAATGTGTACTAAACTTGTCGACTTGTTTGCGGACTAATATGAAGCAGAAATCATACAAAACCGTCCCCAAGACAAAAAGAACAAGTGAAAATCTGGCAATTCCAACAGATGCTCCCCAATCTGCACATTTATTGAGAGAAAACTTGTTTTGACTAATTTTTTGTATTGTCCCTTTGTTTATATCTTATTCCCTTTCACTGCCAGGAAATATTTCGCAATTTCCGTTTACTGCCAAGCTTGTTTCCGTTCTATAATATACAAGAATATTTGCTGTCAGTGATGTTAAAAATAACGTCGCGTCCTAAGATTTTGCGTAAAAGGGTACGACGTCTTTCGGTGATTGAACGGCAATTTTGAGAAGTCTTGTTTCCGTATGCTTAGAAGTAAATTGTAATTTTGGGAAATACTTTTATCAAAAATAATTTACAAAAATCTCCCGGACATAGGTAGTATTTGTTTCAATTTTGTACTTCATTTTAAATAGGAAGAGATGGTTCCACAGCGTTCAAACAAACAGTACTTACTGATACAAAAGAAAACAACTTTTGGATAGCTAGGGAGAACGGAAGCATAGTTACACATTTTGTTTTATCAAGATACCAGTACAACGGCTTAAATGTTAAAAAGTTACAATTAAAAAACAATACATGTAGCTGAGAAAAACCCCATTGTGATTGAAAAGGGTTATATGTGGGATAGCTTAATCCCCCCCCCCCCTTTTTTTCACCCGCCTGCTTTTATCTTTCCCAACAATTTACAAAAACATCTTTTCTTTTCAGAAAAAAATTTTAAAATATTTTAAAAAATGGCAATTTTAATTGTGAAAAATAGAGAGCAGCGAAATCAAGAGACTAAACATCGTATTTGTTCACTCTGCCGTCTTTATTTGAATTTTTACAGCAGATATATTTTTCAGATTTTTTTAAGAGAGAATGTAGATGGATGCAATTTAGATATTCGTTTTAAAAATGCATATGTATCCGTTCGTATGTTATATATAATTGGCAATGATTGGCTTTCAATTCTGGAAAACTTTTCATTGATTAAATAGGGAAAAAACCGACATTTTCCTGCGATTAAAAAACCAATAGGTATATTTTTTTTTATAACTGCATGAAAAGAACTTTTATCATAATTACTTTAATATTCTAAACGAAAACTTGGATTCACTGTCCTTCTTTTCGCGCTATTGGAGAAAAACGGATTTTTCCTATATACACTTAACAAATCAAATAAAGCACCACTTCTTTCCGTACATAGAAATTTTAAAATATAATATTTGAAATAATCCGCGGGTTTAAGAGAAAATTCCGTTTTTGTGGCGACAATGGTGATTTCAACCCAAAAAGTCAAAAATCAAAAGTCTAAGGTAAGTGATTTTCAAATTGGTCATTACATAAAAAAATCGATAAAAATTTGAACATCAAACTCATTTTTCATTGTTTTAGGTGTAAGATACACGCGACTTTCGTTTTCAAAAATTTTTCAACATTTTTCCTTTTTTGTGTGGAAAATTTGTTTTTTTGAGAAGCAAAAAATTAAAATTAAAAAAATGTTCATTTTCACAGAATTTGATATTGATGACCCAAGTAACATTTTGTAATTTTTTTTTATTCATTTCAAGCACTTATCACCTACAATTGAAACTATTCCAATGAACTTATTGGAGGTGGTGCGTATCTCTGTTGTTGAGTATATTTCAATATAAAAAATCCCCAAATTAACTC